TCGCACCCTCACACATCCCACCTTCCGCCCAGATCCTGCACTCCTGCCCCTATCCCATTCACTGGTAGCCCTGTCCTGCACACTTACCGCCTCATTTTTGGCCCCAACCCAGAGCCTACGGAGGCCCACAAAATACACTAACCTTGGAACCCCAGAAGAGTAACTCTGGCCTGAGGTTTTGAACCTCCATCTTCCCTGCTCCTATCCCCACTATGGGGCTGGAGCACCAGGGGAATGAGGTGTTTCAATTGGGGGTCACATCAGTGAGGGTTGGGGATTTTTGGAAGGTGGTAGTTTTTGTGGTCCCCGACTGATTTTTCTGTGGGTCAGTAGCCACTGACCCAAAAAAGTTTCCCCACCCCTCCCATAAATAAAGACAATGTCAAAACCTTTTGAATTGGACATAATATTTTACTTTATTTAAAAATGAAGCCTGGCCAACAAGTCCCCAGTCGGGGACCAGCCCCCATCTGGATGCAGCATCATAATGCTCCTGCACCCTACACACACCAACCATGAGCCCATCATACACTTGAACCCCCTGCCTTGAACCGGGGACCAGCCCCCATCTGGATGCAGCATCATAATGCTCCTGCACCCTACACACACCAACCATGAGCCCATCATACACTTGAACCCCCTGCCTTGAACCCCATATACTCCCACATCCCCAGTCCCCTGCCATAACATGCCTGCAGCTCCACACACACCAATCTCCTGCCCTGAGCTCCTCATACACCCCCACATCACCAGCCCACCATAAGATTGAGAGAAGACAGCCTGAATGCGCGCATAAGGCTAAATTTGACCAGTTATGATGTAAACTATAAAGAACTGTGTGAGAAGATGCGGCAGCATAAGTCCCATTAAATAAAGTCCGTGAGTATGTTTCATTTGTGCTATTATTAATAATAACTGACATAATCATTATGTCAATTATCAAGAATATTAAGTTGTACATTTTCAGTCATGCAAATGAACATTCTTATACAGCTCTTTGTAGATCACTTGTTCTGAATTTTTATGTTGTTTGGCTCTTTGGTTTTAAAAGATTACCTATCCCTTCTTTAGAGCCTATGCAAAGAAAGTGGTACCTCATCACTTGGATCATATTATGCACTGCAAATATATTAAGCATAATCTTCACATACTAAAAAGGCTCATTAAAACCACTAACCGATGAAAAAGTGATTTTGGCAAGTTCCTAGAAGTAGTACGTAGCATTCAAGACCACAGAGGTATATAGGATTTTGAAAAGGGAGGATCATACTTTGCCTTAGCTTTGATATGCTATGAATAGCCTCAGTCGAGTGAAAGTGATGGGATTCTTGTCAGTTTCACAGCTTTTTTTTTCCCCCACTCTGGAACAGGCTATAGGCAAGAGCAACAAATGTTTGAATTTATAATCTACAATCATGGACACGGACCAGAATGTTTTGGATTTTTTAAAAATTATACTGTATAAAATCTTAATTTTGAAAGATAACTTGGTGCATAAGTTAGGGATGTAAGCGACTAGTCGACTATCCAATAAGCATAAACTTATCAGACAGTCAACTAGTGATGCAACTAGTCACTTCCCACCACTTGCTGCCTCTATCAGAGAGAGGCAGCAAGGGAGGGGGAGAGGAGGAGCAGGTGTTAGGGGGAGTCATCTTAAAAGCTGGTTCCCCCCAGCATTGTCTCCGTGGGGGGCAGAGGAGGCAGAAGCACAGTGGGAAACGGTGCGAGCAGGGACTGAAGCAGTCTCTGCTTGCACCAGTTCTGCTGCGATTCTGCTTTTGAAATGTACAAGAGCCCTGCTGGGGGTGAGGCCTCCACTTTTGAACTGTAGCAAGAGCCCACCAGGTGCCCTTACAGACTAATCGAATAGTTGATGGAAATCCCATCAACTATTCGATTAGTTAATTAATCTAAATTTAACATCCCTAGCATAAGTGACTGCTGAACATACTAAAACAGTATAATAATTTAGTGTTACAAAATTTTTGATCAAAACCTTGTTTGATTGTGTGCTTTTTTTTAAACAAACTCTCTCTTTGTCACATACCTGTATTGGTGACATCACATATAGTTATTATGGAAGATTTGATGTTACAAACACTAGTATGTGGCACTGCTGTATAAAACAGCAAATTGACTAGACGTTAGTAAGTTTTCTTTTTTCCCCCAAATATCTTGGTAATCAGCAACATAAATATATGAATGAAACATGACATTTTAACTAAGGTTTTGGTAACGTGAAGTATTATTAAGTTTCTGAAATGTACTTAAGTGTGGAAGTCATTCTTAATGTTCATAGGATTGTGTTGATAGTATAACCTAGAGATGTAAGCAACTAATCAACTAGTCACATATCCAATAAGCAAAAACTCACTAGTCAACTAGTCACCTCCCCACTCCCCACCTTTCTGCCTCTATCAGAAAGAGGCAGCAGAGGTGGAAGGAAGAGGAGGGGATGCTGGGGAGAGCCAGCTTAAAAGCTGGTTTCCCCAGCTCTAGCTCCATGGTAGGGAGCAGGGGTGGCTCTCGTACATTTCAAAGCGGAAGCACTGCATGGAGTCCCCCACTGGCCCCAGACTCCACATGGTGCTTCAATCTTTGAAATGCATAAGAGCCCCATCATTCAAAGGTGGAACACCATGGCCCTTCCGCCTTTGAAATATAGCAACAGCCAAGTGGTCTTTTGCTACATTTCAAAGTGGAAGCACCCTTATCAACTAATCGAATAGTCGATGGAAATTCCATCAACTATTCAATTAGTTGACTAATCTAATTTTAACATTCCTAGTATAATCACAATCATGTTAATTCTATTCATACCCATTCTACACTTCAAAGGTGGAAGTGCCCTTATCAAATAATCAAATAGCCATTGGAAATTGCATCGACTATTTGATTGGCAAAATAATCACATTTTACATCCCTACACAAAACCCTTCTGTATTCCAATTTTAGCTGTGTTACTGATCATTGAGGCTGTTGGGGGACACAGATCAGTGTTCATGTCGTACCTCCCATCAGTACCGAACCCAATCTGGGGAAGCTAACAGACCAAATTGGATGATGAATCCTGGTCACATTGCACCTGAGTCACAATGTGCATACACTAAGAAGACTGGACCCAGTACAAGTTATTCTTACATGACCTTTTGTAACAGAGGCAGCCTCCAGCTAAAATTAGTCTGATCTATAGGCAACCTGGCATAATCAAATCTAAAAGGGAAAAAGTCGTAGAACAGATTCAGCTTTAAAAGATTTTATTAGAAATATGGAGTGCAGCTAATCAATTTTGCATTGACTAGTGCTACAGAAACATTAGATTAGGATTTAAATGGAAAAATCCTGGCAGAGAAGCATGAAAAGTAGCTATATGAAACAGTAATACAAAATACTACCATCCACAAAATGGTTTAATAAGTTACCCTACTTAGAGAAAAATGACTGAGAAAATTCTGCCTACCTCTGTCTCATCAACTGACAGAGAAAATGGAGAGATGAAAAGCAACATGAAGGAAATCAATCATATGCAGAGAAACAAAGGTTTTACCAGTACCCGATATTAGCAATAGGGACGTTAGATATCAGGTAACAGAATAGTCGAGTAACCACATATTATCGGTTACTTGACTAGTCTATTGTTGACAGGGATGGCAGCTAGTTCAATCCGGTCCCATTCCTGGGAGCCCTCTGCCAACCCACGCTGCTGCCTCTGTATCAGAGGCTGCAGCGGGGGGGGCCAGGTGGGAGCCGGTCTGCAAGGGAAGCCAGGTTAAAAACCAGCTCCCCACGCAGACAGACTGCCTACCACCCTGAGGCAGCAGCCCCGTCCACGGGGGTTCCAAGCTCCACTATGGAAGGAGGGGAAAAAGGTGCCGTAAAGCAGCCTCTGTCGATGGTGGGCGCAGGCTCAACATGGACAGAGGTTGCTTCATGACAGCCTCCCCTGCCGCTGCCTCTCAGAGGTAGAAGAGGAGGGTGGAGGCAGCACTATGGAGCCAGAGCTAGTGGGAATTGGCTTTTAAGATGGCACCCCACAGCACCCGCTCCTGCTTCCCCCCACTTGCTGTCTCTGATTCAAAGGCAGCGGGGGGAGGGAAGGAGGGAGGAAGGGGAAAGAGAGGAGAGGAAATGGGAGTAGTAGAGAAGATTAACCAATAAACTTACGCTTATCAGTTAATCGTATACTCGACACCACAAATTAACAATAATACTTGCATCACTATCACTTGTCATTAATAGAGATAAAAGCAATCCATAACTTTTAATACATTTATCTTCACAAACTTCTATGCAATAGGCAAATACTATTATCCCTATATTAGAGATGGAGCTAAGGTGCAGAAATGCTACAAGACTTGCCCAAGGTCACAGAGGAAGTCTGGAGCAGATCAGAGAGCTGAACTAAAGTCTTCCAAGACCTAGGCTAGTTCTCTAACCTCTGGTCCACTCCTCCTCTCATTCGGTAGTGAAATCAGCAACCAATAACATATACTTGATGCTTCAAAGACAATCAGAAAAGCACCATAATGTATCTATCCAGCTTTGTAATGTTCAACTCTCAAAATCTCTAAAATCCTCTCATGATTCAAGTTCAGTTCTCCCCACAATTCTGTCCTGCTTGTCTACTCTTTTCTCCTCCTTCAGCCAGTTTCTGCTCCCTACAATCTATCCAATAGTTTCTTTTTACAACTTTCTTTGTCATAACCCCAACAGCAGCTGTCACTCCAAGGAAACAAGCAGTTATCTTATTGAGTAGGAATGTTAGATGATGAATAATTGAATAATTGTGTAACCGCATCAAAACTTAGTTGTTATATGACTATTCTATAGTCCCCGGGGGTGCAGCCAGCAGCCAGTGTGCTCCCGGCACCACTCTCAGGGAGCCCCCCGTCACTCTGCACTGCTGCCTTTCTATCAAAGGCAGCAGCGTGCAGTGGCACCAGCCCCTGTTCACAGGGAACCCGAGCTCTTCATGGACAGAGGCTGCACTAGCATCTGATACAGCAGCAGCAGCGTCGAAGGGAGGACAGCAGGTGGCTCCATAGAGCCAGTGGGAGGCAGCAAGTGAGGGCAGATGACTCCACAGAGCCAGTATGTGTGGAGAACTGGCATAAAAGCCAACTTCCCGCAAGTACTGGCTCCTGCCTGCCCCCCTCGCCCTCTGCACTGCTGCTTCTCTATCAGAGGCAGCAGCAGGGAGTGGGGGAGAGAGAAGGCAGCTCCGTGGGATCCGGTGTTTGGGGGGGAACCAGCTTAAAAGACAGTTCCCTCCGGGCACTGGCTCTTACCTCTCCCTCCTTTGCTGCCTCTAGGAGGGAGTATATGTAGTACATAGGACTAACCTATAAAGCCAGGCTTATCTGTTCATCATTTAGTTGACTACATGTTGATATATTCCTATTAAGAAGAAAAGTCCTTTCCTTAACAAGACCACTGAATTATTTTAAGCACATTTTAAACTCTACATTGAACCCCTGTGATGTATTAGTACAGTTGGAATACTGAGCCAAAGTCCAACTGAAGGAACATACGAAACTGCCATATTGAGTAAAGCAGTCCATTTAATCTGGTATCCTATCTTTTGGCAAAGTTACCAAATGCAGGTACAAGAATCCCAGCAATGGGCAATCATAGGATTATCTGCCAATTAGGGATGTAAAATCTTGTTTTAAAAAGCTAACAAGTAGGTTTAATCAATTAACAGGGATCCTAAGGCAAGGGTTGCTCCAACCTAGCTCAATGCCCACTGCCTGGCCCCCTAACCTGATGCATGGGAATGGGGAGCAGCTGCTTCAGCTGGAGTGGGCCACCAGTTAACCGGAGATCCTGGTCAACATGCCGAGAAGTCTAATGCTTATAAGGGTAACCCTATATATTCCTACTGCCCACAGTGGATGTTTCTTCCTATCCTCCAGCAAGTGGTGGCTCCCCCCCCCCCCCCCACATAACAACTCCTTATCCCTATAAGTATCAGCCCTTTTAAAAATAATCTTGTTAAGCTATGCGCCTCAATCAGATTTTGTCGCAGTGAGTTCCACAAGTTAATCGCACTCCCCATGAAATCCCCTTGTGAGTCGGGATGTGTATGGGGTGAAAGCGATGGAGCCGGGCAGGCTGGGACTCAGTTCACACTGGGGCAGTTTGAAACGGGCCTGGCGCCCCTCCGAGCGAGCGTGGCGCCGGCGAGCCAGGGAGGCC